CTGGAGAGAGTCCAGCAAAGGGCTACGGGGGTTATTGAGGGACATATTTATATATATGAGGGCTGGATGTCAAGAAGAAAGGAGCAACCTCTTTTCACTTGTGCCTTGTGATAGGACGAGGGGCAATGGACGCAAGCTAGAGCACAGGAAGTTCCACCTCAACATGAGGAGGAACTTCTTTACTGTAAGGGTTACAGAGCACTGGAACAGGCTCCCCAGGGAGGTTGTGGAGTCTTCTACCTTGGAGACTTTTAAAACCCGTCTGGATGCGTTCCTGTGTGACCTGCCCTAGACTAGATGGTCCTGCTCTGGCAGGGGGGGTGGACTTGATTAACTCCGGTGGTCCCTTCCAACCCCTAACATTCTGTGATTATATGGTCCTTCCTCCCCCAAACAGCTGAACCAAACAGCTGAAGGGTTGCAAACTGTCGGGCTCTCCTGTCACTTTCAACTAAAGCAAAGGTCTGAGGTTTCTCATAAGCATCTGGATAGCTGCATCAGATGTCAGCTGTAGCTGAAGGGGTGGGTCTCTACTGAGTGCAGGGACCTTCACTAGCATGCAGCGACTTCAAGCTCAGCTCACCTCCTCCGAGTCAGTGGCTGAAGTGGTGCAAGGCATCACAACCCTCTGCCCGTTAGCACGTCCTGACGCACTCTGTGCCTCAGGCTAAGTGCTAGCTCACAGCCTGGCCGCCTGGCACTGGATTTCCTTCACTGGTGGGTTAGTCCAAGAGTTGCAGTCGTGAACAGCAGCCAAGGCACAGCAACGTGGTTGCACAGCCTGCTCTGCTGCTGTGGGGATGGTGGTTTCCAGCCCGAGGGGCAGGGTGTCAGCTGGGGCAGCAGCACCATAACTCAGGGCAGTAAGTTTTGCTGGAAGAGCCCTCCTCAAACATCCTCCCAGCAAAGCTCCATCAATGTGGGTTGCTGGCTGAGGCCAAAGCAACCCACATTGCTACTCCTATTAGAGTAGCAGCAGGATGCTTGAAGTAAACCCCGTTTGTGATGAAAGGAAGGCAATTAAAATTCCACTTCAGCTGCCTTCCTGTCCCACTTCCTAACCTTCCAGCAGCAGGTGACTAGTGGGGCGGCCTTCTTGTGCCCCGGCTGGGCTGTGCTGGGGGAGCCCTGCTGCAGGGGAGCATGGCTACTGCCACGGCTGCCCAGCACAGCGAGGGCACTGCGACTCAGCTGTCCAGTTTGCCTCCACTTACCTTAGAATAAGCTCATTTTTTTTTTGGTTTTCAAATAATTTTACTCTTCTCTGAACAAAGCTCATGCCCTGGCTGTGAACACACTTGTTTAACATTTCCCATGTTTCTGGCCAGGATTTCCCAAACATGCACGCTGCACAGTAACATCAGCGTGCTTGCACCACATTCCCCTCCTGCAGCCTACCAGACACGTATTTTGTGCAGAAGAATCCTGGCAAAACACCTGCAGCCCCTTTGCCAGGCAGATGGTGCTTTCAGGAAGACAAGCTGGCAGGACATAGGGAAGCCCTACCTACTGTACCTACACAGGTAGGTAGTTGTCCTTCAGACAACTGCCTTTGCGGCCACAGGTCAGCAGAGGGATCAGTAACACAGCATACAAGCTGGTTTCAGATCACACTCTTTATGTCTATAGGTATGTTACTATGAATAACCATTTTGGAATAGCCCACAGAAAAAGCTGGTGTCCTGGGTTTGGCCAGGATAGGGTTAATGTTCACAAACAGCTACAGGGGTGTCCCTCTACAGAAGTGGAGGAGCTGGCCCAGGGGCCCTGTTTGTTTTCAGTGGGTAGCATTCATTTCCTACTGGAGCAGGAAGAGCTGCACCTCAGGGAAGGGGTTTATTACCTGTTTTATATATTATTTCACTAATATTGTTAATATTGTTGTCTTTCCTCTCTGTGTTGTTCTGTTAAACTGTCCTTATCTCAACGCACAGGCTTTTTGTTTTCTTTTCCTCCCAACTCTCCTCCCTTAATACGTGGTGGGGAGTCCAGTGGGCAGTGGCCCTTGGGGTTTAGCTCCCAGCTGAGGCTACACCTTGACAGCTAGAAGTGCTCTCCCTTGTTTAAAAGGAGACTCAAACAATTACATTCATGTTTTTTTTTTTTTAACAAACACTAAAGGCTTTTTCTCTTTCTTGCCTCTGCTGAAGGGGATGGCTACAACATGCCATTCAGATTTTAAAATGAAAATCCCCAAAACAATAATTCTCACCCACTAACATTACTTACTTGTAACTTATTAGAGGTGCTGTGCAGAAAACAAAGTATGCAAGAGAAATTCACGCCTCAAAAACACCTCACTTGTCCTTGAGGTTAAGCAGACTGACATACCTGACCAGAACTAGATTTCTTGCCTATTATATAAGAAAGTTTATTGTTTTATTAGACATTCTCTGGGAACCAACTGTATTAGCAGGAGAGTCTAAGCAAGTGGTTTTCACTTCCTCACTAGTTGAGGCAGCAACTGAAAAAAAGGTCAGCCAAAAGTACTGCACCTTGTTTATTTTACAGGAGTTAAGTTCCAGCCCTATTGAGAATCTAGTTTGCTTTGGCCCAAAGCTCTTGGAGGTAGCTGACCCTGGGACCCACAACCTGCTAGAACCGTTTTGTATGCAGGAGTTTCCCCAATTGTCTTGGATGTCAGCTGACTAAATGATCTACATTCTTGTAGAGCAGGCTGGAATGTAAGTGTAAGAAAGCCTAAGAAAGGGTTTAGTTAAAGAAGGGGCTGTGCAGGGGACAAGAGGAATAGCTCAAACAGGATTTTAGTTGCCTTCAGAAATGGGAAGGGTTTGAAAAATTCCCTAGCAGCAGATCAAAAGCAGAGAGAAAATGAGCAGCTGCTCCAACTAAAAACTGCATCAAGCTCATCCTCTCCACTCCCCCCAGGAGTGGAGCAAATCACACTGGGATCAGCACTCCTCATCAATTACTGTTTTGTCAGACAGGCCTGTCCCTCAGACTATCAACCGACCCTTTGAACTCAAGTCGATCAGAGGACACGAGTTCCAGGGTGTTTTTTTTTAAGTTAGGTTTATTTAGCAATAGAAGTATGTACATGTAAGAGAATCCCCTGCAGCATGAGACATGCACAAAGCAGTGAAGGACTGAAAGTGGTGCTGCTCAATGGCCTTCCTCATCACCTGTCATCCCACTTTACTCAGCAGCAGAGCCAAGATTAGGAAAGGACAGGTGATAAATTTATCAGTCCACGCGGCAGAGTCTTCAGGTGAAGCCTTCCCAGCAACCGGTACTAGAACAAGCGGGCGCCGTAGCCAAATGTCTGTTTAATGCCCTCGAAGTAGTAGCGCTGCCAGCCTTGCTTTGTTCTCTCCTCCTCGCTGGCAGGTACGCCCTTGCCTTCCAAGCACACCTCCGTCTCGCCACCTTTGTCAGTGAAGTTCAAGGTAATCATTGCAAAGTGCCCTAGAGGGACCAAAGCAAACCTGTCAGTAGCATGTAGCATGGGATATGCTGCCCCAAGGAGCTGCTCTGCCCCTCCTCTCACAGCACTGCTTAAGAGTCCTCAGGATCCTTCCCAGAGGATCTCTGTGACAGCTGCAGGCCTCCCTGGGAAACAGAGGGAGGAGAGGGCAGTCGAAGCCATAGCTGAGGAAGCTGCTGCTTCACTGCTCCTAATCCTTGACACTCCTTTGTGGCCAGTGATTCTGACCTGGTTGTGGGGGCTATGAAACTGTGGTAAGTGCTGGTGCAGCTCCCAGAACACCGTGTGTTTCCTGATCGTGAGCCAGAGTGCAGTGTAGCAAATGGGGCTGGAATTCTTCAAATGCAGGCAGGGCTTGTAATAACATAGTCCATTTTTTGGCTACTTACCGGCTGGCCAAGATTTAAATCTCCACTTCATAACAAGTTGCTTCTCAGGAACCTTGAAAAGAGAGAAAGATTGAATAGCTATTTTTTGCATCCTGAAGTTTTAACAGAAAACTACTAGAATTCTGTTGAACTGAAGCCTTACAGACCCCTTCAAAAATACACAGAGAGATTTTAAGTGTTCTGTTCTTTCCACTCCACTTCTAGGAAGGTAGGCCACAGTATAGCTCCCAACACTGAGACAGTGTCCCTGTCCAGAAGACTATTGATTTGAGGGCTAGAGATGAAAAGGGTCAGTCGCTATCTGTAACACTCCTCCAACCCCTAATAAATAAGTAAAATCAAACAAAGACAGGGCAGATGCATGACTGGAAGCCTTATTTTCTCCCCAGACTGAAGTCCCACACATTAGTCCATACTATAGGGAACGCTTCAATAGCCACAATGATTACAGATCACTATTGGGCACCAGGTAGACCTCCACAATTAGCTAACTGAAGCATTGTTACAGAATTGGTAGCTCAAAAATAAAAAGGCTTCTCCTGAGCAAGATACACCTGTGCTAATTAGCACTTACTAGGTCAACAAACTCTCCTGTGACACTGCCATCCAGCAGCTGAAACTTGCCTCCTTTATCCGCCTCCAAGGTGGCTTGTGCATGAGTGAAAGCTTGGACCATCTGAAAAGAATTCAGGAAGAGACCTGTATTACTTATATGCTTGCAAACTTGCTGCCTAATGCCTCCCACCCAGCTACAACAGCTCTGGAAGAGGAGGCAAGTCACTAGATCTTTATCAAGAAGAGACAAAAGCCCTGCCTTGGTGACAAAAGCAAGGTTATAGCCACTACAGCAGCATTCTTCCTGCCAAGGGAGGAGAGCCCCTAGCTTTCATATTCTGTGCAGTGTTCTGTAAGCCACACTTGGATTTACACTGTTCAGTCCTTAATGAAATCCAGTCCTAAAAAAGGTTGGATTTTTTTTAAAAGGATGAACAAGACTATGACCACATTTAAATAATGACACAATGCTGCTCTCTCTTCTTAGGGTGCAGGGGAGGGGAAGCTCTTCCCACAGTACACTTTGATACCACCTAACCTAAAATGGAAAAAACAAAACACCGAAGAGCACACAACTCTAAATCCCAAGAGATCTGATGACATGCAGTTCAGGATACACCTACAGATGTGTCCCACAGAATGCCTTAAAGCTTCTTAGGAACAACCTCCTCTGTGCAAAGAAAAAATATCAGAATGAGCCTGGCATTACCTCCTGAGTAACAAATACCCGGTAGAGCTCCTCAGGAGATGTTAAGAAGGTGTCCTTCAAGCTGATCTTACAGGTAGGAATCTTGACTCCCATGGATTTGGACTGCGATGTGGCAGTACTGCTGCTAGCAGCCCTCTAACAAAACAAGAGGCAAAACAAACACACTTTTTTCACAAAAGAATCAACAAGTGGTTCACCTATCCAAGAGAAAAAACAAAGGCTTTTGGTAAAGATGTGATTAGGTACAACCAGATTTGAGTGTAAAAAGCCAATTTATTGCTCTGCTTGAATTAAGAAATATAACGTGCTGCAAGTCAGAGTAGTGAGGCACACACCACAGATTGCCAGCTCCTGAACACATCCCCCCTGTGAGAGCACAGGCTGCTGCTGTGAGCCCTGCAGTTTAATACTGTGTACCTTCCTCCACAGATCCACAAGTATGTTTGCACCAATTTATTTACCTTGCAGTCTTCTGCTTTAGGAGCCACCTGAGGTGTCGTTTCCATATGTTCACCATTCACTGTGGGCAAAATCATGCCCTGGGTGAATTCTGCAAAGACAGGAATGTGCCCATGAAACTAATTAAAGATCAAGTATATCTTGATTTTGAACTGTTCTTTGAAATACACAATCAAAAAGGGCTTCCTGGTTTCTCCCCTGCTCTCGCTAGCACCCAGGACTTCAAACAGATTTTTTTTAAAAAAAGTAAACAGACCTCTTTTTCCAAGCAATTCTTCCTGTCCCCACTGCTCTCCACTGAAGGCCACCTCAGAACCCGTCTGCACTAACAATTAGGAACTCACGTACCCCAGACATGCCGATCGCTACCCTCCCCATGTTGCTCTCATGTTAATGGTAGCCTTACACTTAGGTACTTCTTTTTTCCCCCCTCTCACTATAATGTAAGTAGCAATCATGTATCAAATACTTTTATCTTGCTTGTCTAGACGAACTAAACCAAGTTTTTCTGTTTATTTTCAGACTGGCTCTCCATTTCTCTTATCAATGTAGTAGAGAAGAAAGTTACTTCTCACTCCATCTTCAATTTCTCTTTTTTTGAGACCAGATGCCAGGACTACACAGACACCTGGGGGGGCGTGTCTCACCAGTGCCCTGTCCAGCAGCACTAGCACTTCAACTCCACCAGGAGTTTCAGCCTCTTTCAGCATCATGTCTGCTTTTTCTCCAGCTCTACCACTTTACCAGTTACCAAAGTTCACTTTCTCCTTCCTCTTCAGCTGTCCAAACTGGCAAAGCTTCCATCACATAGCATAATTTTGTTATACATGTATAATCCTGTACCCTGCCATACTTTGTTCCCATCTATTTTTTTTTTCTCCAGCCTGGAAGATCACACAGTTCCTCCAGAATAACATTCTCATCTTCCACTGGGTGACCCTATCTCCCACTCTGAACACCGTAACAACTGAAAAAAACCCCAAGGGCATAAGAATTTGATCCTGGAAAAACATTGACTAGTGGTGGTTTGTACTCAGCAAAACCTGAGTATCTAGCATATGTAGTGTGCTATCAAGAAATGGATAAGAAAAGCAACCGTAGTGTCCCCAGCCTGCACTGGAGAGCAAAGCCACGCTCAGCCAAAGCACACTAATTTAACTCCAACTGCTGGAATCACATTTATTTTCTAAAAAAAATAAATTATTATTTTGGCCCCGATGCCGAGACACTCATTCAATGACACCAACAAAATCTGCAGAGCTACTACCAGCTGTCAGATATTCTCAAATCTAAGTAACACTAGATGCCTTTCCTAGTGTGGCAAAACAGAAAAAAAAACCCCAACAAACTAGAGAGAAAATATCACCTTACAAGGGAGTAAATAAACTGAAGGTCAGATTTTGCCACACGCAGCGACTGATGCTCTGTGTCACTACGGTGGCAAATGCATTTTACTGGCTTTACTTTTTTCTCTATAGCAAACCTTCAGTCTGTGAAGCACATTCTTGATTTTAAAACAAAAATCCAAAAATGCTGTTTATTATCAAGTTATCACCAAAACCAGTCTTTCTGGGCTGCACCACAGTGTCTAGAGACAGAAGTGCTTCTTGCCAAACGCTAACCATTTTCAAAACAGACAGAAAAATTAGTTGTTGCTCCAGCACCTTCCTGTTGAGGGCGAGCAACTAATATTCACTCCTCTAGTTACCCTCACCCCCTCTTTAGCATTAGCCCACGTGTTTTCCCCTAACACTCCTCCTCTCAGATACATACCTGTTTTGAGAGTGCGGATGTAAGTTTTCATAGCATCTCTAATTTTTTTTGCACCCTCTTGCTTCATCAGGGTCTTCAAGTTAGTGTCAGGCTCATCTTTAGCAAGGCTGACATGGATCTAAACAAGAAGGACAAGTGTGGATTAACAAGGCCACACTTGCACAGTCCTTTTGTTACTCAATGTAACATGACAGTTTGGCTTCGGCTAAACTTGCACAAACAGCAGTGCAGTTTTATTAATCTTTCACTTCACACCAATGTACACATGCACCTAAATACCTTCGTGTGCTATAAAGGCCTTATACCTACAAAGCAGGCATCAATTTGACAAAGATAACACGTGACAGGGAGAGACTCTTTATCAGGGACTACAGCGATGTGATGAGAGGGAAGTTTTAAACTGAAAGAGGATAGATTTAGATTAGATGTTAAGGAAGAGATTCTTCACTGACGGTGGTGAGCCACTGTCACAAATTCTGCAGAGAAGCTGTGGATACCCCATTCCTTGAATAGGAATGGCCAGTCTGGATAGGGTTTTGAACAACCTCATCTTGTGGGAGGTATTGCTGGCAATGGCAGAAATATTGGAACTAGATGATCTTTAAAGTCCCTTCCAACCCAAATCACTCTACGATTCTATTGACTTAAGCAGTCTCTAACAATAAAAAAGAGGTATGCAAATGTTTTAAAAGAGGTAACGTTGAAGGAACTATTAGTGGTGTGAGGACTCGTATGAGAACAGCCAACTGTGTCAGTCTTCAGCTGTACTTACCTCCACTTCCTCAATGTCATTTTCATCTGAGAGATTAGGAATCTCCACATAACCTTTGTACTTCACTCCTGTCTTTGAGGTGCCTGCAATTACAATTATCTTGCTCAGATCACCATTTCTTACGCTGGTTGTTGTAAAAGCAAACTCGTGTTGTATCACAACACAATACTTCCCATTTCTTATTTCCCAGATGAAATAATTATCTTTGATCTTGTACTTGAAACTGGCCTCAAAACAGGAGAGAACATCACTCACCAGTCCAAGCCAGCTTGATAGCCCACTCGTAGAAGAAGATAAGCTTCCCTTTGCGGTTGTTAATGGAGGCCTCTCCATCCAGCTTGCTCACTTCTGTCACCTCACAAGTCCCTTCCTCGCCCTCCACCCTGACAGGCAGGAGCAGAGCTTTCAGCCGCTCCGTGGACCAGTTAGAGGCATCCCGCTCCGTCCTGCGGGAAAACCGGGCGCCGTGAGAATCTGGGACGGGCCGCCCCGCCAGCACGCACTGGGACTAGGCAGCCTTCCCCCGGGCCTGCCTTCCCCGCCCGCTCCAGCGCGGGCAGCCCTTCCCCCCGGCAGCCGGAGGACCCCGGGG